TTTAGGACAGAATCTCAGGATTGAGGGACCTGGAATTGCTCCCAGTCTCCAAGGCCAGAAACCTTGTTTAAATACAGAATCGCTAATTTGCGCATCCTCTGTCAGTGGAGATTTCTCATAAAATAGGCCTGAGGTCACAGTTTCATTGCGGGTTTTTTCCAGGGAAATTAGTGAAATTGTTCTATTCTTCCTCTTAGGGTGACCCTGTTTAATTGCAGACACCTGCAGGCATTTCAGGACCTTAAGTGAGACCTGCCCAAACTCCATGGGGCAAATTCCACCCACCCTGGTGGGTGTGGGCCAAGGCCTGCTGGAGCTAGAGGAGACTCAGGAGCTGCACACAGCTGGAAACTCACCCTTGGAGGATTAAGAAGTCACCTGGAAACTGTGAGCCTCCTTGCACCCTGAGATGCTGAAATGTGGTATTTCCTGTTACAGTGGGATGAGGAGCCCTTGAGATTACTGCAGTGAAATCACATCTGTGCTCAGCATCCTTGCCCTGCAGCAGAGCTGTGCAGTCCAGAGCTTTCCTTTAGGTTGGGGTGCTCAGGGTGCATGCAAGTAGCACCAGTCCATGACACCTGGGAACAGCTGTCCCCATCTGGGCTGCATCTGGTTTTGTAGATGATTAAAGAGATTAAATGTTCTCATATAATCAATCTCTCCATCTCTTTCCATCCCTCCTTATTGCCCTTTCTCCCTGTATACACAAGCATAGTCACACAGACAGACAGGCAGGCAGACAGACAAATCGACACTTGCAAACTCACACATTTCTCTTATCAGTGAAAACTTTGATGCTAAGTATTATTTACAGGTCTGAAAACAGACATTTAGCCAGCAAAGAATTTATCTGATTCAGACCTCTTTTGGCGAAGCCAGGTCAAGATTCCACACACTGTTTGCCAACACACATAAAAACAACAACTCACATAAACCAAGCGCTGCTCTCGCACAGCAAGTGGCCTGCCTGGCCCCTGGCTCCCAGTGAGCCTGGTCCCCCACAAGGAGGCTGCTCTAGGCTGTACCTCATACCTTGGCAAGAAGCAGTGCTTGCCAAAAGCTCTCTGAAGATTGTTTAGCTCACTTCAAATATTTAACTTTAAGTAAATCATCCAAACCAAATTTACTTCTTTTCTATTGGAAAGAGGGAAAGAGAACTGTCACAAGCTGTTCAGAAACAGCAATGCTCTTCATTACTCTTTGCAGGTCTGGTTTTAAAAGGAGTTTCCCCCTCACGTTGATAGAATCCTCAGCGCCATTCCGACCAAGCCTACACTTCCGTTCCTCCATTACCACTCCTTGCTCACAGGATTGAGTCTCTGACGTCACTGACTACTGCAAGGACACCCAGAGAAAGGGTCTACAGATTCATGTTTCTTCCTTCCTGCTAAACATGACGGAGACTAAGACCAACACAGGCAGGAAGAAATTCTGCAGATGTTTAGACACAATGTCACCCCCTGCTGGAAATAATGCAATTTTCATTAAACTAATATTGAGAATCTTTGGGGTATTTGAGCTCTACAGTCAACCTATTTAATGTACATAGTTTTGCCTCCTTCCAAGAAAGAATTGAAGGGAGCACACAGACACACCTACTGAGCAATGCAAAATAAGCAAACATGGATGTATGAGTGAAGCCAGAAGTGAGCTGAATATTCAACACTGCATGCCATTGGAAGTGGGCTCCAAATTTATTTCTAGCTTCTGAGCCATGAAAGCAAAGACTATGACTTTTAATCCATCAAGTTATAGCCCTCTGCAGGACTAGGGAATTAAATGCAAAAACATATTCAAGCAAACCCAGGAGCTCTGACTTTCACCTTCACATGCGGAGGGCAGCAACACTGTGTTCTCTCTCTGGCTGTGTCTGGGCAGCAGGAATGACAGTAAATTACTGCTCCAGCTCTGTGGCTGCTCACCTCTGCCCTCATCAGGGCTGTGGCCCCTGGTGCGGCGGGTGGTGGTGGGGAGCTGGTCTGCTGACATTCTTGGACGGGCAGGGGGTGATTTTGCCCCGCAAGAAGCATTTTGGGTTGTCACAAACCTGAGACAGGGTTGCTATTGGCACTTAGTGGGTGGAGCCCAAGGATGCTGCTAAATATCCTGGCATGCAAAGACAGTCCCACTACAGAGTTATCTGGCTGAAGGCTTGAGGTTGAAAACTCCAGTGTATATTTAACCAGATTTGAACACTGTAGACACGTTAAGCATTACATGGTACCCCATTAGCATGTACACATTTCATGTTTTGCTTATTAGTTGAAATGTTTCTAAAAATTGTTTTAAAAAGAAATACTAGTGCAATATGAAAGAGTGGGGTGTGTGTGTACGTGCATGCAAATATTTATTAATAAAAATTAATAATAATTAAAAATTATTAATGAAAATTAAGTCACTTTTCTGGTTTTAGAAAACAGGAGGCTTGTTTTATAAGTTCAGTCTACTCTAACAACCTACATAGTAGAAGAGCTTTCATAAGTGACAGAGGAGGGAAAATGAGCCCAAACATTTGTTCTGGATCCTGGATAAATAACAAAAAGAGTTTCAAAGTAGGGGTTCTGGAGGCCACAGGTAAAGGACATCCCAACAAGTCTACCCAGCTGCATTATGAAAGCTGGGCATTGCTTATAAAAACTGGATGCCATCCCATATCTGAACTGACTCTGAGCAGAGGAGCCTGGCCAAGAAGAATGAGTTTTACAGCAGGGATGGAAGGGTTGCTGGAGAGGAGACAGCATAAACACATGGAAAGAACACCAAAGGAAGTTGAGAAATCGCCATCTGATGATATAATTTAGATTTGGACAGAGAAGCGCATGCCTGAGTGCCTCCAGCTCTGACCTGTTAGGTGCAGGTGCAGAGTTAGTGGCCTCCAGGTGTCCCTGCAGCTGGGTGGCTTCTGCCTTTGCCAGCTGCCTCTCCTGCTGACAGAGGCCTGGGCTCCTTCATATGCCTCTCACATGTGATTTAATATGACTCTGCAGACATGGCTCTGTTATCATGCCCATCCTTCTAGTCTTCCCTTTTCTTTCTTTTCTGTCTACCCACTCCATGGCAATGGAGATGTTTGCACTTCCCCATGAAGTGTCTCCTGTGTGAAGCAAGGACAGACTTATGAGAATGCCCAGTATTTTCTAGTTTACCCTCTTAACATGCATGAGGTTAGGCAGGTCACATCCACAATCACATCGTTATCAGGCAGGATCACTGCCCCTTAGTTTTTTAAAAATGTATGGCCAGCCTCATCCAGAAACAGCCCAAATTTTGAATTAGATTCTTGTGACATCTTGCCACGGATACTCAGGAAAACTTCATCCATATAGACTCCAGATGCTCATTCAGAAAAGGATGAAACTGAAAGCAATGCATCTGAACCAGGCATGGTATTGCATGCCTGTGATCCCAGCTCCCTGAGAGGATAAGGCAGGAGGCTTACAAGGTCAGATCCAGTCTGGGCAACTCAGAAACTTAGACAGACCCTGTCTCAAAATAAAAAAATAAGTTAAAAGAAAAAGGGCTGGGAAGGTAGCTCAGTGCAGAAGCACTGGGTTCTATGACAGTGAATATTTTAGAGTTTTTGATGATAACAGCCTGCTGCAGCCTGTGTGCCATAGGTTTGCCACCATTGGTGGTATTCAATTTGAAGTATTTATTTTTTTAAAAAAGCTTCTTCTTCAGAGAGTCTCTAAAGGGATGGTTAAATGTTATAGTTTATATACATTACTTTGAATCAACTGGTGTGTTAATCATAGCAAAATCTTCCTGCATTAGTTCCTGACCCCTACTAAGTCATACTTCATAGCCTCCTTCAAGTTATTGTATATACTTCATAATCTGCAAAGAAAACCCTTTTTATTAAGTGTATAAGTTGTCTTTGTTAATTCAACCAGCACTTCTATCCAGTGTATAGTTGTTTCATGGCTCTGGGTCTAAAGTAGTTAATATATGGTAGCTATATAATAGGTGATAACAATATATATACATATTATTATGTTTTATGTATATTTAAAATGACCCTCCATTACCCATTGTCCAAAAGTATAACAATTCAAAAAGCAAAACAAAACAAGACACTGAGATTACTCTTAGCAATAGAAACTCTGATGTTAGATACATGGAAGGGACAAGCTTGTTCCCAGGAACACTAGCATCATCTAAGATGAAGCCCATTCCTTGAAGCCTGATGGGCTCGCAAGATACTTCCTAACAGGTTTCCAAGCTTTGTTAATCCTGCTCAGCATACACAGAACTAATCTGATAAAGCATTACCAACACCCCTTTTCAATGAAATACTTCAGAAAGCTATCTCAAAACCACATGCATTTAAGGAGGACTGAGAAGGTGATGTGCAGATATGTTTATGTGCATCTAATGGGAAATCCGTTGCCATGTCTGTCCCTGGTGTTGTGCAGTCCCGTGCTTGCGCAGTCTCAGTCGGTTTCCAGAACAGGCCGTGTGCAGAAAGAAGCTGCAAGAGCTCAGTTAAAAGTCGCAGGATTGCAATACCATTGTGAGCCAGTGATCTCTGAGACCTCTCACAACAACCACCCTGGCAGTGCCCAGGCAAAAGGGTGAAGAGCAGGGGTCTGGCTGAGGGAGAAAGCGCAGCTGTGTGTTTTATCGTGAGAGATGGAGAATCCCTCCTTGATTATAGATGTCTGGTGTTCCTGGATGTCATTATCTTAGCGGCTATGACTGCAAATGCTATTAGCAATTAAAACACACATTACATTATCTGGACCTTTTTAAAACCTCATCAGATCATTTATCTTCCTGATTCTCAGAGCAACAAGTTCTGACGGAAAATCCACATTTGTCTCAGTCGTGCTTCTGTGAGAGAATTAGATCTGATTAATGTGTCTATAGGGAGCGGGGACAACCCCATGCTCCACCCACAGAATTAAAGCATGCAGAAAACAACACCACTAGTTTCCTTATTGCATCGCAAATTGCCAGACAAACAGCAATGCACATTTTCAAAGCAATGAACTTACTTTCAGTGCAAATCGGGCAGCATCCTTTCCTGTTGAGAATTTTACCCTAATCAGGAGAAAAACAAATACAGAATTAATGTTAAAAACAGGATCTGCTGAAGATAAAGCTCAAATCTAATACCAGATAAACCGAGGAAATCAGGCCAAGCTGTGTTGGAACTCAGCTGATGAGGGTAAGGTGAGGTTTCAGATATCAGGTTCTGAGGCCAGGCCTGGTCATTGCGAAGGCCTTGCTGTTTCTATTCTCTGTGAAGTGTGAGGCTTTCAGGCCTTGCAGGTTTTGGGTTTCTCACGTGGCCTGGAGGGAAGTTGGACAGTCTACTCACAGATAGGCAGGGCACACACACAGCGGGCAGGGCCTGCAACCTGCCAATCTGCCAGGCCTTCCTCCTCTCTTTGTTTCTGGGAGGAGCCCAAAAGTGAACTGCAATCCAGGCTCAGGGTTCATGCATCCTGTGGGCGTGGGTGGCTGCAGATCAGTTTGGTTGAAGTCTTTCTTGCAGAAAGTGGGTCTTACTTGTGTCAATGCACTGGGATGCTCTCAGAACCAATGGAACCAAGCCCACTGAAATGCTAAGTGATTTCCATTACTTTCTGGAAATTTGCTGCAATTTTCCCTCATTGCGCACCTTTTCGTGTTTTTACTGCATGATATTTAGAAGAGCAAGCACATTCTTGGGGCCCAGTGGACAACTCTCCCTCATCCTTGACTCAGTGGTTAATCACAGGGAAAAGCACTGTGGCAGGAGATCAGTACTGATGGAGCACTTGCTTTGTCACAGATGTCCTGCAGACCTTTCATGTATGTCACATAACATCGGGTGAGTTGTACGGGTGTGAGGAGTTAACTACATTGGGGGATTAATGATGTTAGAAATTATTACAGCCATTGCTATTGAGAAGCACGAGAACCTTATGAGCTGAGCATTTCCCTTTTCATAGATGGTACATTGATATCATGTAATGGGTAAGGTTGAATCTAGAATTAAACCTAGCTTTGTGTGCCCCTCAAGGCTGTGTTCTTTTCACTGCAGATTTCCAACCTCCATAGTCCTTTATCTTAAGATAATTTAACATTGATTAAGTTTCTGCTCTACATTGCACATTCCTCACATTGTGTCTCATTTAAACACCACCACGCTCCAGATGGAGGGGCCTCATCCTGTTTACAGGAACTAAGGAAAGAGGGCCACAGAGGTTGCCCATGGCCCGTGACAAGGACACACAGGTCATACACTGCTCATTCACTTGCATCAGAACAGGTGTGGGTATTTGAAAATAAACAATTATATTGACTTTAAGAAGGCTGGGTGATTATTGCAGAACCAGAACCAGGTCTCATTCTGTTTTCTTGCATCAGCTAGGACGCATTAAAGGCCATGGCAACTTTGAATGAAACTTCAAACTCAGCTCCACTCAGCCATGCCATGGCTTGGGGGCATCGGGACACCTCATTTCCCACAGCTCTGCTGTTTCTGTCTGGCATGGAGCCTCCTTTAATTTGTCATAACTGGAAGCAGCTGAGGACAAAGCCAGACAGTCAGCTCAGCCCTTGGAATGTCGGCCCCAGGACGATGGACTGAGCTTTTCTATCCCCGTGAAGAGAGAGGTTTAACACCAAGTCTGGAACCCAGTGTGGCTTGATTCCCAATATCTACATCGAGGCAGAAACTGACATCTCCCTTCTTGGGGAAAGAAGGTGGTGCAACTCACAAAATCAGGTAGGAAATAAACCAACAGCAAGGTGTGAAGCCAGAGATCCCAGCTCCATGTCATTGGCTGCGAAGGTTTGGACACCCTGCAGCCCCGTGTGTAAGGAGGAGTGCTCACAGCCCCCACCTCAGGAGGTCTCAGAGTTAAGTGAGATCAGTCCTAGGACCACAGAGAAAGCCTCAGTACACATCAGTGGCACTGAGAGGACAGTGTTGTGATGATCTGACCCAGTCCCTACTGGAACCCTGGCAGCCCTTCTCACAGGCGTTCTCCTTTGTTCCTGTGGAGTTGCCAGTGGGGGCAGGCAGGGAATCCAACATTAAATCCTTCCTCAGCAAGACACACTGACTTCTGGAAAAGACCTGTGTGGCAGCCAAGGACAGAGCAGGAAATATAAATGTTCTTTATGTCACTTTAGCTTTTTCTACTCTCCCAGACGATGTTGGGGAGGACAGGTAAGTGCAAAGGATTCCCATGGGAGGCAAGAGCACCTTCCACGGTCTTCCCACTGGCCTCTGAGAAGGGAAGTGCGAAGGGGAGGACCTGCTGGAAAGACACGTAGGAACTGAAAGGTGGTCCTTGTGGCTGCAGCCTGCTCAGAGTGCCGAGAAGCTTGGGAGGGTGCAGTGGAAGGGGTTGGGCAAGGGCTCAGCAGGGAACTCAAATGTGGTCCAGGAACAAGGCCCACTCATGAGATGCTGGTGACATAAAGAGCGATGCTCTCCCTCCAGTGAGAAGATAGACAACCGTTGACCCTGTTCCACGCTGAGCTGGAGGCCACACCAGGCCCAGGGAGGTGAGCTGCTCAAGCCACTGGATTGGCACAGCCCCTGTTTGCATCTTGCAGGAGGAGGAAACCAAGATTATTAACATATGCTAAGAGACTCATCCCAGGACGGGCCCTCTGAGGACGGCATAAATGATGTGAACTCCTCTCCCCATGAATATTTATAAGCAGCCCCTGTTCAAGTCTATTTATTGTACCTCCTCTCTCTTTTATTATAGGAGGTTTTCAGTTCTCTGTCAGGCTTTTTAAAGCAAGACTAATTAACACTTTTCCTTCTTTTCTCCCCACTTTATTCAGTTGTGCAAGAGCAGCAGCTGTTACTTTCTTGTACCTCCTTTGGCACTCGAGTAAAAAAAAAGCAACTTTTGTTTATCATAATACCAGATGTGAATGAAATTAAAAGCTGTCCATAACAGAGAAGGGAGGACAAGTCCTGAATATATGGATATGTTGTTCTCATTTACTGGTGAATAGGCTTGACATTTACACAAAATGCATGAAACCTTGAACGGTTTCGAGTTGCTGAGGTGAATTCAATGAAGCTCTTGCTTTAGAAGATAATGGTGCTTTACTCAATGTGCGGGACTATGAGCTCCGAAAGGAGATATTTCCACAGGGTGGACAGAGAACTTGAGCAAAGGCCCCAAGCTGCTGCTAGAAGGGAGAAACTTCTTGGCAAATTTATTAGTAAGAAGCCAGCCACATGTCACTCTGTCAGTGAGAAGAAAGCTGTGATTTGAGATAGGAGAGTAGGAAGGAAAATGCAAAAGACAAGTTAGGATGTTAAACAGAAAACGCAACAAAAGAAAGTGAAGGAATGGGTCTAAGCAGAGTTGCAGAGGTTTTATAAAAGGAATTGGGGGAAGCCAGTAAGAAGTTGAGGAGCTGGGACAAGAGCTGGCTGGAAGTGTTCCCATGAGGTGAGGCTGGGTGAAAGGAGGAAGCTTTGCTGGGGACCTGGCTACCTGGAAATGTGAAGGCCTTGCCAGATCTGGCTTCTGCATTCAGAAGATGGCAGTGACCACACTTATACGGGATGCTTCCCAAGGCGCTAAGGTGAAGAGAATGCAGACCAATGTCCAGACATACCTGCGGGCAGCTGTTGATGGACACACACTGCTTCCTGCGACACTCCGTTCTGCCAGTCACACAAGCACAGATGGTGCAGTTGGCCGTGGACCATACCTCACCCTCCTGTGGGACAGAGCACAGGGTTCTGTGGGAGCTGGGGCAGTGGGTGGGACTGCTCCGTAGGGAAAACATGTCTCACCCTGAGTCAGGGATGGCGTCCTTAGACGTAATGACTCTAAACTCTCATCTATACAAGGTGTGATCACAGTATATAGTGAATGTTTGAATTTTTAAAAATTGATTGCAGTAAAAGACACATTGTGGTGAATTTCTCTCAAAATCCTCCCAGTCAATTCCAACACACTTCCCTCATCATTCCTCCCAGTTTGTAAAGCAGTTCTGAAAGTCCTCTTGCCTGAGTGTCTTTATGAGGCATGATTTAAAAATACACAAAAAGACAGTGAATGCTGCTGCTGAGCGCCATCCAATGGAAAGGGAGGCTCATAAAACAAGGTCTGTCCTCATCCACCTTATTCACTGTATCTGGAGCCCTGCAACTTCTGGCTCTTCCCCAAAATCAAAATAACCATTAAAGGTCAGTGTTCTGGATAGATGCAGCACATCAAGGCAGCCACAGTAGTATAACTAAAGAAAGCAAAGAGGACTTTCAGGGCTGCTTCTGAAGAAGTAAGGATGATGGGATGAATGTATTCAAAGTGAGAGGAGTATTTTGAAAGGGATTCACAGCAATGTGTCTTTTGCTGCAGTCATTTTTTTGTTCAAACAATTTCCCTATTTTTGATAATATCTCATAATTTATCAATATAAAATAAAGGTGAGAGAGGATTTCAGGGTGTGTGTGGGTGCTCTCCCTCCAGGATATGGAAGAATTCCCATGTGTCTGATAGGTTATATTTGCATGTTCCTCCTCGTGCACTGTATGACAGCAAGTATGAATTTTCATACATGATACATTAACAATGTTCTAATTTCCCTCTGTTTGGTAGAACTGAAATGGTTGTTATCCCGGGTAGCAGCAGTTCACTGGAATGGCCAGAGGTGGTTGGTTTGTTCCCAGATGTGTCACAGTTCTGGATATGCAAAGGGGGCATATGACAGTGCAGAGCAAAGACAGAAGACACCACCAGCCATACACAGCTTGTCCCTGCCTGGCCAGCATCCTCCTCCCATAATGCAGGGTAGCATTTCAGTACACATTTCCTTGCTCACAGAGAAAGAGCCACTTGAGGAATTTCCTTGGCCTGTTGATTTATCATCAGCAACTGCCCAGTATCCAGCCAGGACAGAACAAGCAGAGATGAGATCCATGCTTGTGACCTAAGGTCACAGGCCACAGAGTTAGGCCTACAACACAACGAAGGCTCCTTCCTGGGCTTGTGGATCCAGAGAAACAAGTCTCCATCTTTGTTAACGTCCACTGTTCTTTACTTTTGAAGCTATGTTAAGGACTGCCTGCCCTCTGGTGCCTTTTAGATGAAAAGATCTGACTCAACTAGACTTAAAGGACACCTTTCTGCAGATTCAGTGTCTCTGTCAGTTATTTCAGGCTGCAGTCACCTAAAGGAGCCTGTTTAAAGGAGATTTAAAGTGCTCTGCCCAAAACCCCATCGGGAGAGGGTGTCTACTTTATCTCCACACTCTAGAGGCAAAGGTGACTTTGTGTACAGGACAATGAGTGGTCCTGAAAGCCGGTGTAAACACAACACACACACACACACACACACACACACACACACACACACACGGCCCTCTGTGGGCAGAACACATCACAGCTTCTCAGAGAACATAAGAACCATAGCCTCTCTTCTAGCTGTGTTGGTGACCAGGCAGTCTGGCCCAAGAAGTTTCCACAACTGAGCTAGTTCTGAGGTCTCAATTCCCAAGGGTATCATGAAGTGACATCTTTGGGTACAGAGCAATTTCCTCCATTCTTGAGGAAAACAGATTAGATGGGGGATGGGGGAATCCTAGAACAAAGCCCATGACCTGCATCCAAAGTGTAATGGCCACTGCACAGGTTCCCACTGTGAGTACCAGGAAATGCTAAGAATCACACCTATGGTGGCCGGATGCCAGCAAACAACCTGTCACTTTAGTTGGGGCTGCATCCTCTCACCTCTGTGGACCACCATGCTGACCACGTATACCATGATGGTTTTTACATGAGCATTGTCCAGAGAAAATTCCTCTTGGGAAAGGGACTTTGTGAAAAGCTTCTAAATGCAGCAAACTGGGATTCATCAGGATCTTGATGTGGGGGTCATCTTGGCAAGGGTCCCTGAGCAACCCCACCTGAATGAGATGCTCCTGAAAGTGGGTGCCCACAACCACACCACCCACTGGGAAGGGCAACAGTGGAGGGCAGGACAGGATATTCTACCAGCAATGAAGCCAAAGGAAACACTTCAAATGGTTGCCTCTCTGTCCCACGTGCTCTTTCTTAATTCTAAACGTATATGAGTATATATATAATACTACAATATACACAAACATATTGGATACACACAAATGCACTCATATATGCACATACATATAGATTGTGGAACGCTCCAACCTGTATTAACCAGAGCTGTTTAACAGGCAGCACAGGGCAACAGTGCACATGAGCTTGATCCCTGACGTACCCGGAAAATCTTGTTGCCAGACTTGCACACGCTGACGTCTTCTGGGGGCACTCGCAGGAGGCAGTGCTCACAACAGGCCTCCTTGCCTCTGTCACAGCTGCTGGGGTGGGAGCATGTCTTCTCACATACCACAGTGGAGTCCTGGGGATCCAAAGGTAAATGGGAAATTAAAGATGACTTTCCCTAGGTAGACCAGACATCCTACCTGGCCTTCCTCAACAACCCACATGTAGCTTCTTCAAAACATCCTGCAGGTGCCATATTTTAATGTTTTACAATAGCTCATTCATTCTCTTCAAAATTTTACCTGTTAGTTATCCTCTGAACTAGACTGTGGGACATTCTAGTGCCTGGGGACAGCAGTCATACATTCCTGTGAGTATCAGGAAATGCTAAGAATCATACCTTTCAGTGATTTACAACTCCACGCTCAAAAGACCAGTCTACTCCAGCCAGTGAGCAGCAAGGAATCCTCACTCACAGAAAACCAAAATGTTTCCTCCTTCCTTCTTTCTGCCCTTCTCCTCCTCCACATTCTTCCTTAACAGAGTTCTCCTGGGTCTCTGCCTTGGCTTTATGCCACCTTTAGGAGTTTCATGGAAAGCCAGACATCTTTGATCAAAGAGCATCAATTCAGAGCTAACATGTCACCCTAGGTGATGCTGCCCATGTGTGTGCTGTGTCTGCAAAGGAGCTTAGTGAGCAGTCCCTAAACTGGGCCTGGGTTCTAGAGCTCTGCAGTGGAAGACATGACCTTGACCAGGTCGTTTAACCTCTTGGGAGTGACAGCGTTAGATGTGCTACTAAGGTGTTTGGAATGACATGTCTTTCACTGTAGATTTCCTGGTTGGTCTATATCTACGTGCATCTCTCTTCCTCTTGAACTCTTTAGTTACCAAAACAAAACAATAGCCACTACCACCAAAGTAAGTTATTTTAAACTTGGGTCACCCAGACATTCAAGTTAACTCACTAACAAAGATCCCAAAGCCCTCCATGGTAAATGCTTCTTTTCCTGGTCTCACATATAATTCACAGAATAAGGATGTCTGTTCATGTGTGATGTGTGTCCCTCTAAAGCTCTGGAGATGTGGAATTGTTTCTTTACCAAGAATCAGACTGCCAGCTGCCTTTGGAGAAAAGCAGCCTGTTGTTCAAGAAAGACATGGCATGATGAACAACACATAAACACTATCTTCCCAAACTGCCAGGCTTAGCGTTGTGATGAACCATAAATCCATGCCTATCCCTTCCCTTGAATGCATCAAAGCCACTGTCACTGATCATTGTGTCTGAAAATTCAGGATAGGTACCGGAGCCAGGCGATATGGTCATCTGTCTATGTCTGGCTTGAGGAAGTCTCTGGATGGTTCTCAGAGTGTGGCTCTTGTCACCAGGGGCCACTTTGCGGGTCCTCAGAGTATGATGTGAGTTATCAAATAGGAGCTTCACATAAACTTCTGGTCACTTTGAGCGTGATTTCACTTGTGAGGCGGCACCTCTGATGCCTGTGCCTGATAAATAAACACCATTGCCACTGGCTAATAACCCTGAAACCCTAACCTTCTTGGTGGCGTGTGTGCTCCAGCCCCTCTGCACCACCTCACCTTGCAGGTACACGTTGTGCAGTTGTCATAGAAAAATGAGGACCCATTATCATACACATCACTGCGAAAGAGGCAGCTCCCATAGGGCAGGTCAAACACTTTCCTCTGACCTAGAGAGAAGCAACAGCACAGCATGAGAGAGATGGAAGCCAGGAATGTCTCATTTTGACATCAACAATTATAGCACAGGTTGCTAAGCCACCTCCCAAGAGCAGGTAAGTCTGGTGCACAAAGACAGAGCCTTGGGCCTGGCGTGCCAAGAGATCCCCAGGGATCATTGATTTAGAGAGTCATTGTTTAAAAGTTTGATTCTACACGAACCTGTAAGTTCAACAAATCATGATTACACATACATCCATCATAGCGAACCATGATGTCTTTGACATAAGGGCCTGCGTGGGGCTCACAGTCCACTGTGCAGACAAACCCACAGAGGCCATTTCAACACAATGACATGGCAAGTTCCGAGAAGAAACCAACATGAGAAATATAGGGATAGGGAAATCACAGAAGACTTCCAGAGCCTGGGATTCCTGAGCTGTGTCTTAAACACAAGCCTAACCATCCCCACAGTGGGAAGTAGAAGAAGGACGAGTGCAGGTAGAAAGAGTCAAAAAACCACAGGGATTGGAATGAGCGAAAGGAACTAGTGAAATAGCATCTACAGTGGTCTAGACATGTGTGTTACCACAAATCTGTATTGAAACCTAACTGCCAAAGTGACAGCATTAGAGGTAGAGCTTTGGAGAGATGGTTAGGTCACGAGGCTAAAGCCTTCATGGATTGGGTTGGTGCTCTTGTAAAAGAAACCCAAGAGACAGCCCTGGCCCCTTCCACCATGTTAGGTTACAGCAAGAAGGCACCATTATGAGCTATACAACAGACCTTCACCAGACGCAGGATTTACAAGCAATTTGATCTTGGACTTCTCACCTTCAGAACTGCGAGAAATACATTTTTGTTGTTTGAAAGACACCCAGTTATGGTATTTCACCATGAAACAGTGAATAGATTCACACAGAAATTACATAAAGCTAGTACTCTGACAGGCTGAGGATGAAGGATTGCAAGTTTGAGCCCATCCTAGCCTTCTTAGTGACTTAATAAGAATTTGCCTCAAAATAAAAAAAATAAATAAATAAAAAGGGCTGGGATGTATCTGTGTGCAAAGGCCCTGGGCTTAATTCCCAGTACTGAAAGGGAATAATAAAGGCATAAAGGGTGAAGCTAAGTCAAATGGCACAGAGGCAGAATCCAATGCTACATACCAAATGTTCAACTTTTCACACGTATTGTATCTCTGCAGAATTATCTCATTTCACCCTGATATGAGTATTGAACTGACTACCGTAATGTCCAAGAAAGCAAAATCCAAATACAAAGCACAATCCAATCCTTTTCTTTCTTTCAAGGTTGAGTTTCTATTCCTATTGAATATTAGTTTAATTAAAGACTAAGTTTAAAAGCCAGTGATTCATGTTCACTGATCATATTTACATCCACAGACTTCATTTCTTGAAAAAATGATTAATAGCAATCTCTATTTATCAGGAAACCCAGTGAAATTCTGAGAATATTTATAAACACACACTAAGTGCTCTTCTTAGAGTAAGAGTTGTTGGAAGTACCATTAGTAAAAGCCAAGAAAAAATATTATCTTCTTACCAGAGTCAGCTTGCAGGTCAGAATACAGTAGAGATGCAGAACTAAATCACTAGTTCGGCTCTCATCATGGAGAGTAATCTTGTTAGTCCTCTAAAGGTGACAATGAGCTCTAATTTGGGTCCCACAGGCAGACTTCCTTGTGACCTAAGACTTCTCTGCACCTTGCTAACTTTACTCATAAAATGGCATCAGTGGAGTCAATGTGTCACATCATCTCTTCTACCGGATAAGTGGTATGCTCAAAATATGTAGTGAATAGTTAAATTTTAAAAATTAACCAGGTGTGTTAGTGCATGCCTGTAATCCCAGCACTCAGGAGGCTGAGGCAGGAGGATTGAGTTTGAGGCCAGCCTGAACTACATAGTGAGTTCAAGGCCAGCCTGAACTACCTAGTGAGACCCTGCCTCAAAAAAAAAAGTATTACAGTAAAAGATACATTGTCATTAATCTCCCTCAAAATGCTCCCCCATGCTTTGAACACACTTGCCCATCCTTCTTGCCATTTTCTGGAAGTTCTCTTTTGTGAGTATCTTTATGAGGTATGATAAAAAATACAATGTGTGTTGCTGCCAAGTGCCATGCAACAGAAAGGCAGGCTCATAAAAACATGATAATGTGTCTTCATCCACCTATACACCAGATCTGGCACTGTGCAACTTCTAGCTCTTGAATGATCATGAGAGGAAAATATTTTGAATTCATTCAGCCAGTCATGACAGTGCAACTCATAAAAGAAGACTTCTAGAACTGTTTCAGAAATGGCTACATGACGGGATAAAATGTTTCTAAAGCAAAGGAGGGTATTTTGAGGAGGATCCATTGTAACGTGTTCTTTACTATAAGACATGTTTGAAATTTAAGCATTTACCATACTTTTCAATCACACCGAGTCACTAGTCTCTTGAACTTCCTGAGAATGTGCAGACTAAATAAGAGGATTAACCGCAAAATATAAAATTCACCCTTTCTCTAAATATTCCTCTAGGGAACTCTTCTAGGATTACTCTAAAGGATCAGAAAGCTGTGTGCAGCCCAAATCATATAGATTTATTTGGCCCATCCCATTATAATCGCTACTGCCAAAAACTGCCTTTGTTTTAAGGCATTATAGGGCATGAGATAACCCTAAGCAGTTGTTTTCTTGTATTTACTGCAAAAATGAGGCTGAAGTAATTTTTCACCAATTTAAACATTATTCTCTTTTAAAACTCCATCTGAGGTATATTTCTTTCCTGTAAGAAGTAAAAACAGCTCTGCCTCAGTTAAGTAATTTCCTTAAAGTTATGATGACCTGGTTTGCCTTTTTCCTATCTTTTATCTACATGTATTCACGTATTTTGTAAGCCACCTCAAATCCTTTTTTAGCAAAAGACAGGAGATAGATAGATACAAAGCTCTACAAAGAAACTTTTTTCCCTACCAATCAAAATACATCTCTTTCATGGCTGAGGTTCCCATTTCCTCTCCAGAACATTTTCACCTTTAGACAAATGGCTGTTTCCTCTCTTCCTTCAGCCTGTTCTTGTACCATCATCACCAAACTCAGTGTTTTGCACAGGTGGACAGTTGGCTGGATGAATGGGTGGATGGATGATGGGTAAATGATGGGATTGATCTATCAACTGAATGATGGATTAACTGGCCAATAAAAAGACTCAACATTTTAATCCCCCTGAACAAATGTGACCAGTGACTTCATTTATCCCTTGCTAAGCTGTAAGTTTTTACCTAAAATTATGGTTATATATAGCTCTTAGCACAGTGTGGTAATGCTCATCAGCACCACCAATGCATGGCAGGTGGTGATCATTATCATTAGTGCTGACACAATTCAAATATGGTCCTGGGCTGTGTCTCCATGGGAAGGGTGCTGGACACTGCTCTGTGTGTGCTGATGATGTCTGAGAAGACTCTCCTTTGGAAATGAGGAAGGCAAGGCAAGGAATTTATAAAGCAAAAGGCTGGGGGGTATGGGAATGGAATCCTGGTTAAGGGGAAATGTAAAAGCAAATCAGTGCCCAGAAGCCAAAAGTCTGACTAGACTAAGATTTTAGCATCTAGAAAGCATCCTGGTGTTTTTCCTTTCTATCTTTTGTTGTGTGATTATGTTCCTTTTTACCAGCAAAAACCACAAAATCTTACCTTAATCCCAACATCACCATGGCCCAATTTAAGATAAAACACTCAAGGGAGTAGTTCCGAGACTGGGAGGATCTCCTGAGCTAAGCCACTTCCCCATTTTCCACTACAGTTTAGCCCAACCAAAGAAGGTCTCACTTGGAGGAATTATGGTTTTCGAAGTTTTCCCAAACTTACTATTCCTTTTATAGTCTGTGCTAAAACCACAAATGATCAGAAAAACCAGCACTCGACCCAACAGCCATTGCTCAAGTGGGGAGCTTCTATGCGGACTCAGCATGCCCTGACATTGCCTTCAAAGCATTAATCAAGCCTTCTTATTCTCGGGGCCAGGTCCAAATCCCTTGCTCTGTGACAGCTGCCCTGGAAGAGGGAGCAATGCATGCCCATGGCCCACAGCATGGTCATCCCTTCCACACTGAAGGGGCTCATCTCACTTCAGGGCCACAGATATACATGGGTGATCCATGAAGCATATGTACATGGAAATATCTTTAATCAGATATGCCCAGTTATCATTTATTCTTTTAATTATTCCACATTTACCTACAAAGTGTATGTGTGTACATGCACGTGCATGTATACATATATATAACAAGAAAGCAAACATTGTAGATTAAACCACAGTAGAAGGTAAGTGTCACCTGTAATCCCAGGATTTGGGAGGCTGATCAAGAAGGACCATTGGAATTCAAGGTCAGCCTGGGCCACATAGTGAGTTCAAGGCCAGCCTGAACTGCATAGCAAGACCCTGTCTCAACAAACAAACAAACACACACATACACACACCATACACACATAAAAAATACAAACAACACAAAACATAACTAGTTAGAATCCCTCAGAGAGAAGAAAACTGTATTAGTTTAACAAGATACCTTTACTTGACAATCTGGTTACAAAAAGCAAACAGACTTCAGAGTCTGGCTGTGGGAATCTTGTGGATGAGAAAAGTGAATCAGCAAGAGGCTTTGGAGGTGGAGAAAGCAAACTGGGAGAAAGGAGAGAAGGGGAAGTGTGAGCCCTAGCAGACAGGAGGCTGGAGCCACAGGGAAGAGACAGTGGGAGCCCCAAGGCACAGTAACTGAGTCCTCCCGAGAACAGGGAGCTCAGTGCTCCGCTTTACAGTGCTGCCTCTGCTTCTCCAGGGAATAACCGCCCTCCCCAGCTGCAGACCTCCAGGAAATCTGCTGAACGAGTCTTGATGCAAGGGCACCACAGGACACGGAAAGACTGGTGGTGTGGAGGTCTCTGATGGGACAAAATGATGTTTCACAAACACAAAATAGCGAGAAGAGAAACAGCAAGGGTAGAGCACAAAGCCAAAAGAGATTAAAGACCCTGCCTACCCCAGTGACCTCCAGAGACTTGGGGGACCCTTCCTCCCCACCACAAGGAAACTGACAACAGCACCTCCTCACACAGGGGCTCTGCTTTTCACAACTGTATTTCATAGCTTTTTGAAAAAATTACATGAGAAAAAGCACACACAGTGTGCAGTTTGGTGCCTGGCACACAACTAATGCTCAGAAAAAGTGCCCACACTCTTCCTGCTGTTACTTGCTCTTTCCTGCCAAGCTCTTTTGCGCTGCATGTTATCTGCCTGCACCCTTTGCCCCTGCAGGTAACCAAGTGTGCATCCTTCCAGGCCATCATTTCCAATGCCTCTAACACATGTGCCACTAACCGCCTTAAGCTGACTATAGACAGTATCTTCGGTCTTGCTCCCCTTGCAGGGCAGTGTCCTGTGTCATCTGGTGTCCCAGATTCCAGACCAAGGGGAGACAAGAGAAGAAGCCACATCCTGTTCACACCATCCACTCTCTTGATTCAAGGAGCAGGTGTCTCTAGTAAGCCAGGAACCAGGGCCACCTCGGAAGCCCAGGGAGCAGTGTGAATGCACACTCTCTGCAGAAACTCCCCAAAGAAATTCATTATTTTTTGACCTGAAAGTAGTCACTCACCCAAACATTTGGGGCAGCACTGTCCTGGGGGGGTGTGACTAAGGTGCTGGGGACAAGAGAGAATGGGACAGACTTCTCTCACGCACTGTGTCCTGCCTCCCTAAGAAAAGAGAGAGAGAAAAAGGCACATTTAGAAAAGTCAGTGTGTACAGATTGCACAACCAAGACATCCGGAACAGACCTAGGGCCCTTCCCGAGGATCCCGGGCATCTATGTATTTTTAGGTATCTGGAGTGACTACCCAGGTCCAAATGATTCCCACAAGTCACCTTTGACCATCCATGTGGACCCTGCAAACAGACAGCTTCCAAAGAGTTATCACAGCCAGGGTCATCTACCCTCAGCTGCCACCAACTGCCTTTATCTTGTCCCTTTCAAGACTTGCTTTGGAGTAGGACTAGGGTAACCAGCTTCTCCCTCTGCCTGGGATTTGAGATTTCCCTTCTAACACCAGGGAAATTTCATGCAACCCAGGATGAGTGGGCCACCCCCACAGGGCCTCCCTCTCTCCCCACGCAACCTCATGCACACAAAGGAACCCTGTGTTTCATGAGACTTTTCCTCCTCTTTCCAACCCCATCTCCATGTAGCTCCTGCAGACAGCCTCCTCCAGGAAGGCCCCACTCTGCACAGATGGCAATTGTCCCTGGGACGGCCTAACGGTGCCCCAGCCAGTGGAAGTGGCCAATCTGCTGAAAGTGGAGGCCCTGAAAGCCGTGTTCACAAGAACCCTCCCCCTGGATTCAGCACGCTAACCACAACTGTTTCCATTAATTAAGCATAGGCCCTGATGATTGATTTGGAAGAACTGGCAGAGCCTTGGAGGCCTATGGGAGAAGTTTTGGAGCCTTCAGCTACCTTCCCTACTTTCTCGCCCTCATTCTGCACTCTTTCTGTCCCTGCAGCCTCTCCTCTCCCTCCCCTTCCCTAACCTCACACCCCTCTTCCTCTGCCCATCCCATCCCTCCTCTCTGGAGTGCATGGGTGCAGATGCCCCTCTTCCTCCTCACCAGGCACACCTGCTCTTCAGCCTCAGTGAGGTGGAAATGCCTCCTCAGAAAGCCGGGCAGATGAAAAAGTGCTAAAGAAAAATACTTTCCAGTCCCTTCACATTTAACCAATTTTCCCTTGCAACATGCATCATGAAAACTCTTTCTTGCAGTATGAGTTGCTGTGGACTTTATAAATAAAGGTTTTATTTTTGGTTGTTAGAAAGTCAGTGAATTTGGTAAATAGATCACTAGGCAATTGGAATTTCAGTGGTTTGGCTTCTCTGCGATTAGAGCTAGAACCCAAAAAGTGGGCTTTCAGGCCCCTTTTGACTTGAACTGACAATATATATCTCGGGGGGTCAGAAAATGAAGAACTCAAGGCTAGAAAGACCCTACGCCAAAGGAAAGAAGATCCACGTTGAGGCATTTCTAAAACCACAAGAAAACTCTAGGCCTTTCCTCACACTGTTAGCCCTGTTAGCCGCCCTTTCTGCAGGACAGCGGACCTCAGCCTCGTCCTTCGGGATGCATGGGTTCCCACCCTGGCCTTTGCAGTCTCCCTCTGTGTCTGCTTTCCCTTGCTGTTCTGACCATTTTTATGATTACAGTTTACTTTTTTGTGGGGAAGAATGAAAAAGGGAGCAGGTTACACATCTTTCTAAACATTTGTTATTTTTAAGCTTCTTTAATATTGGATTCTTCCCCAAAGCGAAAGAGAACACCTGAAAATACCTCCAATAGCTCTTCTGTCATTTTTAGGTTATTTTCAGACCAGCAAGAATCATTTAAAAATCTTCCCCCAGGGGCTGGGGATTTAGCTCAGCGGCAAAGTGCCTGCCTGGCAAGCGCAAGGTCGTGAGTTCGGTTCCTGGTACCGGAGAAAAACCAAAAACAAACAAACAAACAAATAAAAATCTTCCCCCAAATCCCAGTCTGTTCTGACATTTGTCACTCAGTTCTGCATAATCTTAAAGTTAGGAGTCCCTCCTAGACATCAGAGGTGGGTAACTGATTCCATGCCGATCCCCGAGGTCAGCCCCAGCTTACCCACAAAACACAAAAGTTGTATCACAGGAATGACAGGGTGATGCTGACCTTGACTTTTCATTTCAAAGAAATGCCTCTGTAAACAACTTCCTAAGACTCTGCAGCCCAGGCCACATAAGGCAGCTGTGTGCTGGACTCTCTGAGGCACACAGAGAACACACTCTTTTGGTTGACGTTCTCTGCTCCTGTTGGATCTGCATCTATTTTCCAAGCATATTTTAAAACTTAAAAATTTAAAAACACTGCATAATTGCAAAAGAGTTAGCCTGTCCAACATTTTGGAAAGCTGGTGAAAGATTATGTGTACAACAGTAATTTTCCTTACCATAAGGTCAAAGGGTAAACTTTGCATACACAATACAACTGCAGTTTGTGTTTCCCAAGAGTCCATTAATGTAACTTGAACTCCAGTCTGGGTTTGCTGGTTGAGTCAAATTTTATTTTGTTTGGGTTGCAGTACTGTGGCACAGCCCAGGTCCTGAGGCTGCATTCCAATTAATGCCTCCAGAGAAAGTCCAAGCCCTTCCTAGGAACACAGTCATAGCTCACAATCTGCTCCTATGAGTCCAACTCACCAGGGGTTCTGGTTAAACTACCATCTGTGGCTCTACAGTAAGCTAACAGAGTTAAAACAGCAGTAGTAAATATTTCTGTTTCTAAAACTGAACAAACTCCTACTGTAATTACACTATCAGATTGTCACAACAGCACTGATTGGCTTCCCAGCCTCAACTCCTGGAAGGTTCCATGTGTTCGGGACTCCTTCCTGGCACCCATTCACCATCCCATTATTCTATCAAATATGGCTGAAGATCTATGGCAAATTTCATGTGGATGTGCTCTTGAATACAGAACACAAAATACACTCCCTCAAAGGCACTTTCACAACCAGTGATCTTGTCCCTACCCTGCTGAGGTTGAAGGTGCCTCACACTGCCTTCTGGATAAAGTTCAACCCAATTGGGCTAAAAGTCAGTGCAGAAGTCTGTCCTAGCCACATTGCTTCCTGTTTTCCCTCAATAGAGCTATGATACATTTCCCAGAATGCTTTGTAGGTGGGCATGGCTATGTGCCTGAGTTCTGACCAATATGAAGAAGATGGGAATAGTATAACATGCTCACAGGATGACCTGTGAAATTCTTCACACAGCACCTGCATGCTCCACTTTTTCTCTCTACTGGTTAGAGAGCTGGCTGAATGGAGTAGACACAGAGCCTGGTTCCCTGGGTCACCCATGAAATTGTAGCCCCAGGTCCATGCTCTGAACAGCCATATGAATGAAAAATAAATTCTATTGTGTCAATGGAGTAGCATTAGCCTACTTTTTCAAGACACCCTGGAGCCTCCTCTTCAGAATCCCCCTCACTTCAATATAAGAGTGGGGTACAGTGCATCTTGCTTCTTTATTGTCTCCAAACACATCTGATGTCTTCCCTCCTCTTATGCACATCTCTTTCCCTCTGTCCTCCATCACTGACCCTATCAAGACCCTGCCTCATTCAAGTTCAGGCTCCAGTCTTCCTGCCTGCAAAGCCTTCCAAAGCCTGCACTTCCCAGGAATCTCCTCCCCTTCTCAGAGCTCCTCTTTCCTAATCTATGCCCTTGTAGGTTGAGCACACACATCACTTTTGGTACATGCATAAAAGCTTAATTCTGAAAGATGGTGTTAGTTCTGCCCCCAAGTCACACTGCCTCTGGGGCAAGGAAAGCCCTGCGTGCTGGGTGCCCTTCAGAAGAGTGAGAACCACTAATGAGCAACAGAAGGACCCTCACCATAATGATCTCCAGAGTGCGGCTGAGTTGTGAGATCTCTTTAATACAGGAGGCTGAGGAGATGGCAAGGATCTGGGTGGCCTGCGTTCCCACACCCTTGTCATCTCTCGGTTTTGCACATGCTAACCTTACATTTGGCACATTTGGGGTATTAACTAAATGTGGATGTTCATGTGTCCAAAAGCAATATTTAACTTTAACATGTAAAACAACTGCTACCAGCATAATGGAAAATCTGCGGTGCTCTGTTTAAATATTTGAAAATTCCTAAATGGTTAAAATACATAGGGACAAATGACTACACTCATATCTGACTGACACAGAAGAGAATGGTAGAAACTTCCACAGGACTTGTATGTTCTGGCTTTCAACATCTGCTTTTCCTTAGAAAAAGCAAACTTGCTCTTCATAGATGGTCATTTATTATAACTGCGCATCCTCGTGCTTTTCTTGATGGTAGCTATTTTTGAAACAAAGACCTGAAACTGATCTCAGGTCTACGTTCCACTCTTTTAATTTTATTTAGCTGATTCAGTCAAGAACCCAATTGCTCTGTGTCAGAATTTACCCTACAGCAGCAACTGTGCTTCATAACAGTCTGTCTTCCCGAATGTGGTGATGTGTGCGAGGTAATAAAACCACAGTCATGTGCATGCGGGATGCTTTTCCAGCCCCTGAGGACCCACTGGGAATGAGGCTAAAAACCATTCTGTAGGTTGTGATGAGTCCCTCATCCCCGATCATGATGCAGAGCCTGGCTCCCTAACTGGAGGTCAGAAGCAGAGTTGCTTAACAGTTACCAAAAATTCTTTGCAAATGTGGTCGAATTCACTGTAACTGAATCAGCTAAATTCTACCACAATTTAGAGAATTTTTTTTTTTTCCTGTACTTACTTTTGGGAAGACTGGAATTCACTGTTGATTCTGAAGCAGTGGTGGTGGGAAGAAAGGAAAGAGAGCTCTTGGCCAATACAGGACAGAAATCAAAGCACACAGGCTGCTGGGCCAAAGGGGCAGAATTAGACAGAAGAGAGAAGAGTCTTCCTTAACAGGAAGGGGACGACAAGCCCAGGTTATGCAAGACCTTGTGCCTGGGTATTTTCATCATTTAACCCTGTGTGCATGCTGTCCTTACCCCTAGAGTAGAGACTGAGAGACTTATTAAGAAACTTACTCAAAAAATAAGCCACCCAGCAAACAAGCGGCAGGCTTGAAGTGTAATTCAGTTCCAACATCCAAGCCAAGTCACTTCCTTCCCTATGTTGTGCTCCTCCAAACTTCTCGGAG